TCCGCAGAGAAGAGACTCCATTTGTCATTTGCCTTCCAGTTTTGGTTCACATCAGATAATCAAGGGACTAAAGGAAAATGACATCTCCAGAAAGTGAGTCATACTTTGAAGTATAAACTTAAACATTAACCTAAGAGGTTAATAAAGAATCCATTGTGCCATACCAAGTTCAGAAGAAATGTTCTGCAAACCAGTTTTCCCTCCAGATGCCTGGAGGACACCTACCCTCCTCTTCTTTTCTTATGCCCCCTTTCCCTTTTCCTCTCCATCAAACATACGCCTTCTCCTGACTAAGCTTGTGGTTTGGGTGATCTGATTTTGTTATTTGTAGACCTCAAGCTTTCCTGGAAGGAAGAGGGATCCCACACCTGTTCGTCCTGTAGCTCTACAGCTTCCTGGCATCTGCCTTGCTAGTACAACTGATTCTAGACTGTTCTGCTCAACCCACAGTTGAGATTCAACTGGCTCTAAGAAGCCCCGAGTCTGCTTCAGCCATTCTTAGAGTCTTATGAAGTAGTGTCCCGCTTATAATCTCGGGTTGGGCAGTCAGGCCTATCTATTGGAGTCCGACCGACACAGCACACTGACAGGAGAAGCTGCGGCCAGAGGAATACAGTGAGAGCTCAGCTTCCGGTCAGACTATGGGGTGCCGAAATTGAGGAAGAGATGTCTGGCTGTGGCTCAGTGGGTAGACCCCCGTCTTCACCACAGACACCAAGATAACAGAGACACTGGGCGAGGTAACTCAGACTTAGACAAGGCATGGAAACTGCTTCTCTTTTTGAGTTTCCTTTGTTTAAATATTACAGATAACCAAGATATCTGTTTTGTAGATTTATTGTGAAAAGTTAAAGGGTATATAGATGTAAACATGAATACTGGCTATGCTAATAATTGAGCTGTTGCCCTCTGTTGGCTGCAAACTGTCTTTCTGCCTTCTAGCACATCCCACATTTCCTTCTGCTGGCTACAGCTGGAACTTTTTTCTCTGTCTATGCCTCTTCTGCTCTGGCTTTCTTCCCCCTTCTCTTCTTGCTGGTGTCACCTTCCATTGCATCTCCAGGGTGGCCTTAGTTCTTGACTTCCAAGGGTGAGTTCCTCTGCAAGGCTTTCTCTTTACTCCAGCACAGTGCCTTGCTCCCCAAGCCACATCACTTCCAGGAATTGGGAACTGGTCCAACCCTAAGTCTAGAAATGGCAGCTCTAAGCATCTGAGGATAAGGACGGCTGTACCTGGCTCCCTGAAGCTGTTCAAATGTGACTGTGAAGAGCTCATGCTCAACAGCACCAGTGCTCACTGTGCACTGAAGGCACAACACGCAGGAAATACGGGGTACAAAGACACAGGGAATCCTCAGGCAGCTTCCCGAGTCCCTAGTGCCTGGTTTATTCAGGAAGGATGAGTGTTCCCAATAGTTTGAATACCGAGCCTGGGGCTGCAGCTTCCAGGAGCCTTATTTTCCTTTAGCAGCCGACTTATATTCTTTGCTCAGAATTCCTGAGGCAGAAGCTCTTCCATGCAAGGTATCATCTTCCTCCTGGACAATCAATGCCACCACCTCAATGCCAAGCACATAGCAGGTGCTGAGCAACCACCTCCGCTCATTTCAATGTCATGCGAGAACACTTATTACTTAAGAAATGACCTCATCATCTCGTTCATGTTTACTCCCTTTTCTTCCCCTGCAAAACTATTTTAAGAGCACTGTTAGAAGATGCAATGGAAAAGTCAGTTCAGCGTTATTTTTTCTAGGAACTTTGTGTGCTCTGTCTGTGTGCTGTGTACACATGTAGGACATAAGTGTTCTAGTATGGTTTTGACTGACGACGGCACAGTATATTATGTTATATAGTGTGTTTGTTAATCCACATCAAATATAAAAGCAAAACAAATCACCATTCTTTGTCCACTTTATTTAGCTCTGGAAGATATTTCTCAAAAAAGTATTAGATCATCTTTCTGAATGACTTTTTTTTTTCCCTAGCAACTAGAACCTGGGCTGCCAAGTGTCTGATGCTGGGTGACATGGAGGTTTGGCGCCCTCTGGAGGTTCAATGAAAAAGTAAGTAGTATCAGTGCAGAAGCAGAGTCCCTACTGGGCACTTGACATTTTTGTTTTATCAGCCTAAGGAACAGGGACCTCTAGGGGACAAATGACTGTCAATAAACTTCCAAGTAATACACCTGTTGCACACAACTACGGGCCTGTGGAAAGCAAATGCACCAACTGGAGGACACTGAATTTAAAAAGGGAGAATCAGTTAAGTCTTAGAGTCACACATGAAGAAAGCCGAGATCCAGTCAAGGCATTTTGTCTACTTCAAAAGAGAAATTAGTTCTGTACACTAAATTTCTTGACATATATCCCTGGATAAAATTTTATGTTATCAAAACACATTGTCTGAAATTTCTATTGACTTTGTAATTATCACATCTGAAACTTACAAGGAAGATTTAAAAGTAAAAAAGACTAGCCTGTGTGTCTACATGAACAAACATGTAGTTCTTTGCAAATGTGCCAAGAAAGGGAATCTTGGATTTGGTAATCAAGTTCATAGATTCTAGATATTCTTGCCAGTGCAATGCTGTGTTTGGGAGCTGGGTCTTGAAAGTATAGTGGTGTTCATCCATGGACCCCATGAAGTATTTCAAGTAGATGCTTGAACATGGCCATGAGCCTACCCCCAAGACAGCTGAGGGGATGCCATGCAGGCTTCCTCGACCCTCCCTTTTCCTGTCTGGGACGGTGACAAAGAGGACATCCTCAGAGCCACACTGACAAACCCAATTGCTTGTTTATAATTCTGGCTTGCAGGGTTTTCCTTAATAATAGGATAAAATATTAAGGTAACTCCTCAAAGTATAATTCTAGTCACTAAGTGTGTTTCACAAGACATTTGTGTATGTGTTATGTGTGCACTGGTGCACACATGCTTGTGTGAAAGCCAGAGGACAACCTCAGGTGTTGTTCCTCAGGAATGCCTACTATGTTTTTTTTTCAAAACATCTACTTATTTTATATATATGTTCAGAGGGCGACTTGTATGAGTTGGTTTTTTCCTTCCAGCAAGTGGATTTTCTAGGAACTGCACTTGGATTGCAATGATTGGCAGCAACCTCCCTTACTCACTGAGCCATCTCATAAGTGCCATCTCATTTTGGAGAGTCTCTCTGGCTTAGAGCTAGCCAAGCAGGCTAGGATGGCTGGTCAGGGTGCTCCAGACACCTGTCTGTCTCCCCATCTCCAGTACTGGGATTACAGTGCATGTTACCATGCACAAATTTTAAGTGAGTTCAAACTCAGGTCTTCATGCTTAGAACAAAGTACAACTGAGCCATCTTTCTGATCCAAAATATTAAAAAAAAAAAACCTTTAATTGTCTCAAAAACTAAGCAAATGTGTATCCACTACATATGCAGAGACAAGGCACAAAAGCCTAAAAGTCAAGGTCATGGTTATATAAAGTCTGAGGTATTAATATCAAAATACGACAAAGTAAACAATATCTTGGTACTATTTTATCAAGAGAAAAATATTAAGTTGGATGATGCCAAATACATCTAAACAATGTGTGGCTGGCGATACTGCTGTCTCAAATGCACAGAATCTACAAGTGCCCTCTCTTTCTCGTTTCTCCAACCTGAAGCTGCCCTGGACAATGCCAGAACTCAGGCAGCTCAACCACTCTGGGACCAACAGATCTGATTGGTGAGTTCTAGACCCGACGCTGTCCTGCCTCAGATTTATCTAACTAAATATAACTGAACAATTTGTTCTTATTTTCTATGAAACTAATCAATGTTACTGTGAGTGCCTTTGTAAACAAAATGATTAAACACCCTGAACCAGTAATTTTCAGAAACACAAAATTAGATATACCCTTAGATACACTGTCTATGACTTAACAGTGTGGTTTTACATTTAAAATTTGACTTACTATGCTATGTTGTTTTGCTGGTACTTTTTGTTGTTGTTGTTCAATGTAAAAGTGGGACAAATCAAACACTGAGAGCACAGTTCAGGTTAAGTGCTGTAGTGGCTTCGTGAAGGGGCCACAAACTCACACCTTAGGATTCATTGTGACCATTCAGTCAGCAGGCTTTCTATTAAGAGACGGCAGTGGATAGACATTTAAACTGCATATATGGGGTTCAGAACATAACTTTAATCTACCAAACTGTCTACTTCTAACCTTTTAAATACTTTTATCTGGATTTTATTTTATTTTATTTTAGAACTTTGAAGAATGTTTCATTTGGGAAGGAAAAACTTCCTACTAAATAAGGAAAATAATTCACAAGTTATTTCTTTAAACTAAAGCTGAGAGTCTATAGAATTCCCAGTACTAAATCCCGTTTCTAAGTCTGGGTCTCCAGTCACGTGTGATTTCTGGAGATTTATTTTTGCTCCAGATTCCACAGAAACTAAGGATATCTGACAAAACAGAAGCAGTATGCCCTTCTCTGTGCTCAACAAGCCCCAACTGCACAAGATGTGGCACTCAGGAACAACTGGCCTGCACTTGTCACAGTCTGTGTAGAGACAGTTAAGTCACTCACCACGTATGCAAGCATTTATGATTTTGTACCCAGAAAAAACAAAACCAAACGGTTCATTTGACATACTATTTTCCATGGAGTCTTGACTTTACAGCATCCACTCTAGCTTAATATTTTTAAACAAAACATTTTCAGTGGCATAGCCCCAACTCAATTCTTTAGAGGCTTGGCTTCATGGGAACCGATACACTGTATTCTTTTCCAGACCTGCCCTGCAGGTCCCTCAGCCTGGGTACTGCTGACATTATATAAAGAACAACACTCCACGGTGGGGCTGGCCTGTGCCCTGCTGGATGTCAGCATCCTTGTCTCTACCCAACAGACTCAAGTACCATGCCCATCTGTGGTGACAAATGTCACCAAAGTCTCTGGGGGAACACAATCACTCTTAACTGAGAGCCACCACTACAGGCTTCTATAGAACAGAAGAGTGAGCAGGTAGTGGTGCCACAGCAAGGTGGCGCAGTTTATTTCAGTGTCCACACTCAAAGTTGAGTGAACTCTAGTTATTTAATGAGGTCTACCAGCAAACTCGGAAAAGCTGTGCAGGCCTCTTCCTATGGCTGAACCAGAAAGCTCCCACCATGCAGACGCGGGCCCACAATCAATGTGCGCCAGTTCTTTTAAAAAACAATGCTAGCGAGGGCTCCGTTTTCCAAACCACGAGTCAGCTGACAGAGGAACATCTGGGCCATGTGCATGCAGCTTACAGCTGGAAACAACCAAGTCGGAGGAAAATCAAGGTCCATGGCAACGGCTAGGTGTTACTCTTCTTTTCTTCTCCTTTTCCTCTCCTTTCTCTTTTCTTGCATCCTCTTCAGGTCAGACATCACATTCAAAGTCTTCTTTACCCACATAATCTGAAATCATTCAGAGGCATGATTAAAACTGCAAAGCATATGACTGAAGAAACCCAGGACATACAAAGTCTGTACCATACATACCACAATGACCATGGCATTGAACAGCAATGGTGCTGAGAACACGAGAGAAATGAACATCCCCCGGGAATCAAAATATTGATATTTCGCAAACAATCTGTTTTAGAAAAACAAACAAACACAATTATTAGACTTTCAGTCCTGGGAGGTGACAGAAGAACAGCAGTTAAGAGTCTGGGCTCACTGAAGAGTTTACATCAATGGTAACACAATGACTTAAATTTTCAAACTATACAGAAAAAGCTCTAATGTTTTTCACAGATTATAGAGTAAGGGCTATATTCCTGCTACAGCTACCTAAGAAAGTACTTCCTGTTTCCAGGCACCTTAGTGAAGTAACTGCCTTTCTGTGTAAGGGATCTGAAGACTGCATGATTCCCACTTGCCCAAGGGTAAAGAGCCAGGCAGCAGAAGGTAGGAGCTGTCTACGGGGATTTCTCTCTTGGTAATGTGGAAATATGCTACATAGGTGTTTTCACTGACTCAGTAACAGTGATTGTGAACCTGATAAATGAGCTATGGGGTACAGCAAGGAACAGGAAGGACAGATTCATTCTTAAAGGAAGCCTCCCTTCTGGAGGGAAGGAGCAGCTCAGGGAGAGTGCTGGTCTGACTTATCGAAACAAAGCAGGGAACATGGGAATCTATGGGTGGGGAGAGGTCAAGTCTAGACTCTTGAGGTGGCCATGGGGTCAGCAGGAGGGGCCGCAGCAGGGGCCATGGGCATCAGTAACGTTCTGTGGTTAGGGTTACATTGGGATGTTTGGAGTGATCTGCGCTGAGACAGGAGAATCAGTTAAGACAACTTAGGTCCAGGGTTGAGTTTGGGAATTCAGGGGATGAGTGTGGAGGCTCTGGCACTGTCCAGGTACAGGGAGGATGTTTCCAAGAGGAAAGGGGAGCAAGCAGGGGGAAGGTCTCAGAATCACCACTTACTCCCTAATACCAACCCCTACTACTCAGTACCTTCTAAAACTTCCACATTTGAACTCTGAAACTCAAAATACTTTGTAATAATTGTAATGGTTTCTCATAGATTGTTACTTTATTGGACAGCACCTTAAGAACTCAGGTGATACAGTCAATATGGTTAAGCCATTCTTGAAATATCTCACTGTTTTGTAAGCCTCTGAGGCTTCCCTGACCATAAGGAGTTATCCCAAAAGTGGCACTGGGATTTTTGTTTAATAACACATAGGTTCAATGAGGAGCTTTTGCTTACTTATTCTTATTAATAAAATAAAATTATCAGTCTTCCATTAACAACAATAAAAATATTTAACTGCTTGCTTCTTAAGGCCTACGCCTATTGAGTACAGGGTGCTCAATATTTATGTGGCCACAATTCCTGACATCTTCAATCTCCCTGTAAGTTCCATGTTTTCTTTACAAAGTTCACAGTCAAGAGCATGAAAAGCTGACTTTACCTCCAATTCATTGCAGCCACTTCATTGATATACTCAGCACAATAGACTAACAATACTAAGAAAAGATAGAAATCATATTAGAATTACATGGCCAATCACAATCATTATAGGACAAGATAATACATTTTTTACTATAGCAACGGAATGCCAAAACATTTTGCCGAGAGATGCAATTTGCATTTTAGCTTGGATGTATTAAGAACTATGAAATGGTGAAGTTATGGAACATGCCTATTTAACAGGAATCAGGAAAAATCAGCACGCATGTAAGATATCCAGTGTCTTAGTGAAACTCCCATGAAGCTGTTCTGCACTGGCAGGACCGCCGTCACCCAGGTGGAAAGCTCAGGGTCGGAGCCTCAGCATTTGTGGAAATGAAGGAAGTAACTCGGACGTCTTCATGCTGTCTGAGATTTTAATGAGCCATATGGCGTACAAAGCATAAAGAGCAGTGTCTGTAGTTTCTTAAGATGGTCTATGGTTTGTCCCTCTTTAAAATTTAAGCACACACACTGTTCTTAAACTCAGAGGATTGTTTCTCCCTTCAAGGCACTTCCCTCAAGCCCGCCCTCTTGTCTGCTCACACCCGTGTGCCGATCCCTGACTGCAGCAACTCATACCAGCCCCTCGCCCACTTCACTGCACGCCTCAGTTCAGGTCTCATCGAATGATCATTACAGCTGGTAACGCAAATTAATACATCTCCAGCTATCTACCGAAGGCGGGGTCCCCAAGGAAGTTACATTAAGTTTAGAGGCCTGTTTGGCTCACCACTGTAACCCCAACATTCCTCAGGAAAAGAATTTCAAATGAAGAATGGACACCATTTCTGCAACGTGAACGCTCATCACTTCACTCATTTTTCTCAGATAGCTACTTGATCGTCTGTCCTACCTCTCACAGTCAACTGATTAAATTTGTCTAAAATCAGCTTTTTCATTTACCAAGCAAAATCTTCTCCTTCCAGTGTCCACAAAAGTCAAGTATTTAAACCTGTAATTACTCCGCTTTGGGACACTTAGCTCCTGTGGACTGTGGTGTCTGACCTATGACCCCTACCCAGCTTCCACCCTATATCTTAGGAGCTCTGCCCACTTGTCTGCATTTGGGGCAGACCTCATGCCTGGGCCAGCCAGCTATTGCTGATATTTTCTTACTGACGTTTTATTAAGTATCCTTTTGTCCTCACTGATGGGGCCTAATATATTGATTGTCCACATTTGGCCAAGTACCATGGTTTTTGTGTCTGTGCATAATCTTTCTCCATTCTGTATACCTAATTCCTTCCCAAAATTTCTAAAGCCATTATCTACAAAACTGATCTGAAACAGTATTTTATGTGGAGAATGTCTCTTAATTTGTAGTCTAATTTCCAGAACACGAAGTGTGGGACTAAGCCTGGCAAGAAACCATCTTCACGAAAGTCATGCCATTTAGGACTGAACTCAAGCAGGAAATTATCTGTGTAAGAGTAAGCATAACAGAACCAATATCTTAGTACAGCCCATGCTCCACATCCTTCCTGATCAGCCTGAAGCAAAAGGAAGACCCCCTTTCAAGGTCAATGTCCAAAGGTTACTTCATGATTTCCACACAGAATGGAGGACGTGGGAAACCCTGTGAAAACTCAATACAAACAAAACCCAGGGCAATATCACAAGCGTCAAAGCGCAGGGATTCAGTTTGCTCCTACTCACCTAGGCACAGGAAGTGCCCAATCTGTAGTTTATACCTCTGGGATGAGAAGCACGTGAGGAGCAGACTCAGCAGGTGGAAGACGACAAGCCCTAGGAGCCATGGCTCTGTCCAGTCTGTCTCCTGTGGGGACACACCGTTAGAAATTTGTGTGTGTGAGGGGGGTGGGGGGCAGGCGGTATGTCTGCAAAACTGCTTTCCTGTGGGTAATGAGAATCACTGGTCCCTTCCCCCGAGTCTTGGGATTACAAAGCTAAGCCTCAGAGACAAGTAGGAACCAAGAAGGAAAAAAAAAAAAAAAAAAGAGAGAGGAAACAACAGTTGCAAACACATCCCTGGATTTTATATAAAGATTTTAAAGTCTGAGCACACTCGCCCCTTTGACTGGTGAACACCATTCTTTTCAAGCTGGGTGAAATCTAACGGGTTGTTATCATCTAAAGTCAAGCTGATATAATCAAGGAGACGCACTTGGTGCGTGTGAGGCAGCTTAAAAGGAGGCTCATCTTATCGAGGCCTGCAAATGGGAGCCATCCTAACCTGCAGGGCTGGCTGTCCCCAGCACTTCTGCAATGCACGCGGCTGTCTAGATAGCGCTTCACCAATGCGTTGGGGCCTCACAGATGACCGATGTCCATACCCCAAGGCTCAAATCTTTCTGACTGCCCCCACCCGATCCACGGTTCCTAGTCCAGATTCCTCAGCACTTCCCCCAAGGGCACTGCTCCACAAGGCAAGACCAGCTCCGGAGTGTGGAGCCCCAAAACTCTTCAGGACCGCTTGGAGTCCATTGCCCTTAACTGGGTACTGTCTGCGTCTTCTGTGCCACACCGGTGGGACAGCACATCCACAGTCTGTGCTGAGCCCGGTGGGGCAGAAAGCCACTGCACGCCGCAGCTGCCAAGACCCCACCGGGGTGGGGACCCAGAGGAACGCTTGCCTGTGCGCACCCGGGGTCTGCCCCATCCAGCCGAGCCACAGCGCGACTTGAGGATACAGCCTGTCCGCGCCTGCGCTGTCCACACAAGAACTAGGGCATCCCCCACCACGTGCTAGCGCCTCCCAGTCTCCAGAGTCTGCGAGTTACCATGATCACCGCGGGGATGCTGACCGGGAAGGCTCTGACCGAGAATGAGGACGGCATCACGCCGGGGGAGAAACAGACAACCCGGAGATCTCCGCCGCTTCCGGCATCCAGGAAAGCCGCCTCGACTTCTCGCGAGATCTGTGGGTACGCACCTGGCATTCAGCTCTTCTCGCGAGAGTTCCTTAAAAAAAAAAGAGGTCCAACTTTCATTATTACATTCATGGATTTCTGTCTGAAGTGTGGAAGTGCTCGCTCTCCTTAGAAAGCTGAGGGTGCTTGGTTCCACAGACTCAGCCACCCGCCCGGGGCCAGATTGTCAGGCTCGGCCGGCACCCTGCTCCACAGTCCGGGAATGAACCGGCGAACTGGCATGCTCTTTGCAGACCTAGGCTGGACCCGGCGTTCTCCTCAGAGACCTGGGGTGAAAACAGCGTTGGCCCCACAGAATCAGGAACATCTCGGCGTCTACACCCCACGGCGACCCCACAATCCCGAGATAAAGTCAGAGTGCTCCTTAGAGAGGCTCACGGAATCGGGATGCGCTCAGCATCCTCATCACGGGCCAGGGACAGATGCAACGTCCTTGGTGCAGACCCAGGCTGTGCTCCTCACAGAGCCCGAATGGATGACTTACCCCACAGAGTCGTAGTGGATGGCATGGCATAGACACCCTAAAGACCCAGGATGGATATGGTGTCAGGTCCCACAAACCCAATCTGAGCTATCCTTCTGTTAAACACCTGTTACTGGAGAAGGAGCAGGCCAATGAACGTGGGCCGGTAATGGATTGTTCAATGTTTTTAAGACTGTTAAGCACACGTAGCTCATGTGTGAAGGTCTAACTGCGTGTGTAAGCAATGAGGACCCAGGAGCGTTAAGCCTTTATGCCATAACATATGCACATGCACAAATGCATTCACCTCGTTATACAATCTGCGCTTAATGGGCCTGAACGCAGTGACAGCCATAGCCCATCTCCTTCGCTTGGCTGTGGAAAGGGCTCGGATACAGTGGTCCCGTATCCTCAACCCGTTAAATCTTCCTCCTCTCTCCCAGAAGCATACCCAGGCTGTCATTGTTGCCTCATCTCTCTTTTCAGACCTGGGCTACTCTCTGTTTCTCAGGGGCATGTCCCCGACCATCTTCACCAAAGATAAGGGAAGAAAGGAAGGGGGGGAGGAGGAAGGGGAGGAGGCAGAAGGAGGGGTAGGGAAAGTCTCAAGACCATCTGAGTGTGACCTAAACTTCTGCTTTAAGGAACTCGGGGTGTTCTCACTCCGCCAGGACAGGGGTCCTTCCGTTCAGCATTACTGTCGTTTTCATAGAGCTGATGTGTGGGCTGGAGTTTTCTTGTGGGTCTAAGAGCTAGCTAGCTATTCCTGATGTTTTGTGGACTGACTTCAGCGAAGGCACGAAATAAAAGACTAACTGTAGATGCTTTCTTATCAGGATGGGGGCCCAGCCTTGACATCAGTTTGCAACCGAAGAATTAAAAGCAACGCTGTTATAACATGTGACTGAATTCCTAGGCCATGGAACCCTGCTGTTAAAGCTGTCTGGATTGCTCTCCCCAGGCCAAACTCTCTCACAGGCGGTTCATGAGGAGTCCCTCCTTTGTTTCTAGATACCTGCCATCTTTAGCTTTCCTTGTCTAATGACACCTCTTTTCTGTCCCTGTACTGTGCGCCTGCCACAGGTTTCAGTCCCACAGACAATTATTTTACACCACAGATAGAGATCTTTTAGCACAGGCAAGATGTTTTTACAGTGCTTTGCTTGGACATTTCACAGGTGTCCACTGCTCTTGAGGCCCCTCAACCCTTCTGTGGTCTGGCCCTACAGGATCTCCAACCACGAGGGGTCCCGATTTCCCGTCCATGTCCTTTCTTCTTTTCTCGGCGCCACTGAGTTTGTTCCCTAGCCCTGCGTTTCAGGTGCCGTGGTGTCCTTGCAGCCATCCAGACCTTTGCTGACTTTCCTGGATGCTCACTCTTAGAGTTTCAGCCTCTTCATTTGCTGTCTTGGTTCCCGAGGCTGCTTTAACAAGGCACTAGCAACTCTGGTGGAAATTTGGAGGGAAAGGAGGGTCCCTTGTTCCTGGACGTCAGTGTTCCAAGCTGATGAATGGGTCCAGCTGCTGAGGGCCGTGGTACACTGTACTGATGGGGGATGTCCTTCTGTATGCTGTGTATATATGTTTCTCTTATTGGTTTAATAAAACACTGATTGGCCGGTAGCCATACAGGCGGGGCTACCAGACTAGGGGAATGCTGGGAAGAGGAAGGCAGAGAGTGAGTTGCCAGGGAGATGCCATGTAGCTGCCGAAGGAGAAACACTCCAGAGCATTACAGGTAAGCCATAGCCTCGTGACAATACATAGTTTAATAGAAATGGGTTAATAATTGAGAGAGTGCTAGCCAATAAGAAGCCTGAGCCATCAGCCAAGCAGTTTATAATTAATGTAAGCCTCTGTGTGTTTATTTGGGACTGAACAGCTGCGGGACCAGGCAGGACAGAAACCTCCCTTCTACACTCTACTGATCTCTCAATCCTGGTGTTGTAGCCTCCAAAACATGTTTAGCTGCAGAGGCCTTCTTCCCTGTGTGTGTTCTCTGATAGCCTCCCACAATCTCATCTAAACATAATCCCGTCTGTAAAAACTGTGATCAGACACGTTTCATCCTTATAGGTCCTGGCTAGCACTTCCTCATACCTGTTCAACCCAGGACATGGTTTAACATCACCAGTGTTTTTACACATATTGTTTATTTACTTACTATTTGCCGTGTGCTTATTTAATTGCTTATTAAAGTATACACTGTTGTGGAATATTTGTTTACCCAGGAAAAGACATGTTACATTTGTTTATGCTGCAGAATATTGCTTTAACTGTTTAAAGGTTTGCTACTTTTGTTAATGCTGCATTTGTTTAACGATGTAAGGATGCGTGCTTATGTAAAAACAGATGTATCGCATCTGTTTCACTTTGCCTGCTTTAAGGCACGTGATTGGCCTAATAAAGGGCCAAACAGCCAATAGCTAGGCAGAGAAAGGATAGGCAGGGCTCTCAGAAGAGAAATCTAGTCTTGAAAGAAAAGGCAAGAAGCAGTGAAAGTGTGAAATACAGAAGACAGAAAGATAATAAACCCCAAGGCAAAAGGTAGATAAAGAGAAACAGGTTACTTTAGGTTAAAAAAGCTAGGCAGAAAGGTGCCTAAGCTAGGCTGAGCATTCAAGACTAGTAGTAAGTCTCTTTGTCATGATTTGGGAGCTGGTTGGTGGCCTAAAAGAAAAAGCCTGGTACAATACACTTTTATTTATTTATTTTTGCCGTGCAAGCCCAGGAGTAAAACCTGCCCCAGTCTCCCATGCACCTCTGGTTCACAGTACATGGTAAACCTGTATACATTCACCAAATAGTCGAATTGAATGAATGAATTCACATGTGGATTAACATGATCTCAAAGCTCTGGGAGATACCACTAAACATTTACTCCTCTGCTCTTTATGTTTTAGATGAGAACCATTCAGTTACTTTTCACATTTTTTTCCCTGTTAGTACATTCAAGCCCTTGCTTCTTTGTTAACTTTGATAACTAATATTTTCCTGGAAAATGTGTATTTTTGCCTCACAGTTTCAATTTTTTTGGCTGAAACTTTCCATTGCTTTCTGTTTATATTGTTAGAGGAGTTTTAGGGCAAACCTGTAGCTCAGGGAGCCCCGATAGGCTCGTCTCAGCTGCTTGCTATCTTGATGTGCCAAGTAAAGAGATAAGTAAGGATGAAAAGCAGAGATAAGTTTTTAACCATTTTAGCCACATTGGGAAGAGGAGCAGACAGAGGAACTCAGTTGCCCTAAGTCTGTCTTCAGGACAATGACATGAGCTCTAGGTTTAAATAAAGGAATACTTATGGTAGAATGTCAAGAGATATTCATCATTAAGCAGTTTTTTTTGTCAAGGGCTGGAAGAGTTGATCATTATCTCACTTTCACCAGGTGGTTAGAAGTCCTTATTGAAGCAGGATAGAAAGGGGGGAAATTAAGGGAACACTAGAAAGAAAAGGAGTCCTCTCACCCCAAAGTCTGAAGTGTCTCATCCATTGAGATCATGGAGGATGTCTGTGTCTCCAGGTTCGTGTATGCACTGTTCAAGGAACACTCAGGTCATCATGGTCATGCATGTAATGGTCAGAACGCACTTGCCACAGTGTAGAGCTATCGCTACATTCCTACTCAGGGGCTACACTCCGAGCCATACCTAAAAGCTTCTCAAGCCCTACTTCCTACCTACCCCATGAATCACGGACCATCCTTGCATCAGAAGCTACTTCAACTCATTCCTTAACAGTGCCCCATTGGCTAAATCCGCTGCGTTCCACACAGTTCTTGAGTAAATTCGATGTTGCTACTGTTTCTGCTGTTCATTGAAACAGCAGTGGTCTTGAGTATCCTCCTCCAGCCCTAGAGCTGTCCTGAGGCCATGTCAGGCCAGTACCACTGATGGCCTTGCCCTACAAGTTCTTCCTTCTGAGCCTTACCAACTGGTGTGCCAAGGGGGTATCTCCAGGACTTGCGAAAAGTCAGAGGAAGACCCTGGGATGAAGGTGAGGGCGTACTGGGGAAGGGCTCCTAAGACTAAGAACACTTCTCTGTCTCTTCCAATGATTTGCTACCCAGTGTACTCAGGTATGAGGATCAAGGAAGATACCATGAGTCTCCACTACAATCTCTAGAGTTCGTCTTGTACTCACTGATTTAGGACCCTCTCTGTCTTGTCATTCAAGTGGGGCCTGGGATGCTGGCTAGAGACTTCATCTCAGGGATGTCTTGGGAACTTGTGCCCAGCAGATTCCTGGGGGCTAGGCACCCGCTGCCTCTTAGTGCCTCCCTTGGATGACAGTCAGACCCATAGAAGTGCCTCTGGCCTATGACAAGGTAGGATACCTCATCTCCACTGCAGAAGGGCTCCTTGGCAGGCCAGATACCAGTCATCTCCTAGAAACCTGATTTGGGGTAGATCCTAGTTCGATTCTTCGTGCTGATGCGCACTATTTTGCCCTGACCCACAATCCGATTTCTCCTTCAGTTTCAGCTACAAAATTTTAACAATGGAGTATTTGATAACACTGCTCTTTTTATTTAAAATTTCA